GGGGTATATGTGAGTGAACCCCTTCTAAAATGCATATTTTACTAGTAGAAATGCATACATGAAAAGCATGATTTAATGAGCACGTTTTATGAAACATTTGATGAGTAAATTGGATTTACCTTATATGATTATCATGCTTACTTAGAATATTTTAGAATACCATATTTTCTATTGAACCCTTGTTCTTTGTAGAATATCTGATGGATGACGATATACTATTTAGAACATGTTTTTTTTTACACATTTCTTTATAGTATAGATGATGGATAACTTTATACTATGAAGATGTTTTTGAGATATATGTACCTATGTTTGGAAAGATTATGTTCAATGTTTTGTGCGTATCCAGTGATCACTGTTCTACCTTCGGGCAATGTTACTTATATTGCCTTCGAGCGGGCGTGTGTAAGGCACTGTTCTGTGCATATGGAAGATGATACTTATATTGCCTTTGGGCGGGCGTGCGTAGGGCACTATTTTGTGCAGAAGAGAGATATTGATACCACTAGTTAGCACACTATATATGAGATATGTATTACGAAAATGTTTTATGGCATGCTAGGGTTTTCGAAAACCTATTACGTATTACGCTATTGATGTTTTCATAAAACTTTGGGGGTTAGTATATTGATAATTGTTTTATTATATATATATATATATATATATATATATATATATATATCAACTTGGTTCACTTATGTTTGTTTTGTGCCCCCTCAGGACATAGGAACTAGGAATACGACCCGAGCTACAAGGCATTCCCCTACCAGTGACATTGTGATATATTTTCTCTGCTTTGACATCTATTGTAATAGCACTTCTCTAGCTTACTTTTCGCTTGTACTTTGTATTAGATATATGCTCTGAACATGTCATGCATTATCATAACAATTCATTGTTGGCAGTTGAATATTGTTATTGTGATAGTACTCTACTACTGCATGAATAGTCACATTCTATTATCTTGCCACAATTTATGTGCATGTCTCACATGTTCTCAGCATTTACATTAATTAAATGGCCTTCGTCACCTTTGGATGTCGGTTAGCACGTGGCCATCCCGATGTTCCGAGAACATCGAAATCAAGGCGTGTCACCTGTTATTTTTGTTGAATATATCACTGCCAGCTCATCAAAACATTTGTAAATGGATTGGATGATGTAATAGTTAGTTGAAAGAGTTAGTTAGAGTTTGTTACTTAAAGCTTATTAGCTAGTCCTCTAGCCAGCTATAAATAGCTATTGTAAATAGATAGTAAGATTAGTTCATTGAGTTCAATACAAAACCTTCATTCATTCTTTCATTTCTCTTCTCTCTATAAAACTTGATTTCTTGGTTTTACAATTGTTCATTTCTGCTTCTTCTCCAATGTAGTTAACATGGTATCAGAGCCACCAAGGCTCACACCATGGATCTTGGTGGTCGATTCCTCTTCTCTCATTACTTTCTATCTTTCTTCATTACTTTATTTTGTTTCCGCATATTTGATCGTTTATGCTCCGTATTCATAGTTCTTATTTTTGGTCTCTGGATTTTTCCTCCTCGTTTTGTGTTTAGTTTTAGGGTTTTTTTTTTCCTTCGGGGTTCAAGATGAAGCCGGCAAGACCAGCACGGCACCACTACTCGACTTTCACATGGAATACGTCAACTCTCTTCTCTTTCTTCACCTTTGGAACAACCTTCTTCAGCATACTGTTCTTCATCTCCGACTTGATACTGTCAGTCTAGAGGGTCAAGGTTTTCACGAAAATCTGCATAGTTTCAAAAATTGGAGATATGAAATTCAAAATAAATTAGGGATTTAAGAGAGATTTGGGGACGATTGTTCAGATTTCGATTCCTTCGACCGCCGACTCTCTCCATTGTACACATGTGCGAGTAACCGCTGGAAATGAATTCACTCAAGTTGTTGAAGCTCAACGAACGGTGATCGATTTCAAGGCCACTCGCATGACAGAAATCTTGTTTAAGACGCGCCAGTGGATATCCCATGGTTCAAATTCTTTCAAACTTGTAGAGGTGGTCGAGCAGAATGAGAAACCAAAGGTCAAACTGATGTTGCCATTTCGGTACGGCGGCGGCGGCTTCCATGATGTGCAAGCAATTTTAATGTGGCAGCGTGCTTGAAGCAATTTTTGTTGTCGAAGTATGACGAAGACAAAGACTGGTGGATGTAGATCATGTCCATCAACGAAACGGTTGTTGGTTGACTCTGCCATGGATTCTTAGATCGATGAGAGATTTCTGGTTTTTTCTCTCAGCGTTCTTGGGTCAAGATTGAAGTTCTTATCAGGTTCTTGATTTCTGGTTTTCACAGTGCACATAATCTGTTTGATTAAATGTTCCAGTAAGAAAATGTTTGCTACATTCTATTTGTTCATCTTTCTTGTGAGTCTTTTATGGGATATTAGTGTGATATTTGGGATATTTGGATTCAAGATTGGTCATTGCTTCAAGATCAGTGTTTGTATGCAAGTTTATCTGTTAAGGCCGATAGTCATTTTCTGCAAGATTGTTGAAGGAATACAAAGGCCGAAAGCCATTCCTTTCTGTTGCTTGATTAGTTCTTAGTTGAATGCAATTTGTTCTCTGTTAAGGCCGATAGCCATTTTCTGCGAGATTGTTGAAGGAATACAAAGGCCGATAGTCATTCCTTTATGTTGCTTGATTAGTTCTTGGTTGAATGCAATTTGTTCTCTGTTAAGGTCGATAGCCAATTTTCTGCGAGATTGTTGAAGGAATACAAAAGCTGATATCCATTCCTTTCTGTTGCTTGATTAGTTCTTGGGTGTTCGGGATTTGTGCACTCGAAAAAGGCCGATTGCCAAAAGTGTGTTGAATGCAATTTGTTTTCTGTGAGATTGTTGAAGGAATACAAAGGCCGATAGCCATTCTTTTCTGTTAAATAATTTGTTTTTGATTGTGTGAGACTTCTGCACTTAAAAAGGCCTATTGCCAAGAAGTGTATTGATTGCATACAAAATGGTTCCATAATCTAGCTGGGTATGTTGAAAGAAATATTGGAAAACATTGTCTTTGGAAGATTGTATTTGCAAAGGTGATGTGTGATGATAATGGGATGAGCAACATGTTTTGGTTTTTTGCAAGTTTGAAAGGATGATAACTATATGTGGTTGTACCTTATCGCAAAGAAAACAGTAGCTACAGAGGTGTAGAAATCAGTTTGAGAGGCTGAAATTCTTTGGGAAGTTGATTGATAAGTATGAAATTGCACCGTTCTTGAGTAATTTTCAATGCTTGCAGCCATGGAGGATTAATTGGTGAGGGGCAGCAGGGCTAGTAGTATATGGACAAGAAGGATTTCATAGTTCTGCATTTCTCAAAGCGTTCATTCAATCTCAAACTGGGAAACCCAGTTGAGATTGAGGGGGGATGTTGAATATATCACTGCCAGCTCATCAAAACAGTTGTAAATTGATTGGATGATGTAATAATAGTTAGTTGAAAGAGTTAGTTAGAGTTTGTTACTCAAAGTTTATTAGCTAGTCCTCTAGTCAGCTATATATAGCTATTGTAAACAGATAGTAAGATTAGTTCATTAAGTTCAATACAAAACCTTCATTCATTCATTCTCATATTTCTCTTTTCTTTGTAAAACTTCATTTCTTAGTTTTACAATTGTTCATTTCTGCTTCTTCTCCAATGTGGTTAACAAATTTCTTATACGCTATCTGTTTGATGTTGATGAAACAAAATTATATAATATGTTGCTTTACTTTTTTTTTTTGGTCGAAAAGTATGTTGCTTTACTTAAATCAACAAATTTTGAAAGTAGATCACCAACTCCTCCACTGAGATTAGTTTTTCCATAGATATGATTCATCCAATATCTTCCATTATTGGCAAAATCTGGTGTCAAGTGGTAAATAAAGAAATCTATTTATGGTTTTTAAAACATTCATTAAATAAACTAAAGTCTCTAATGTCAAGATGTGCAATTTCAGCGTGGTTAAGGTGGGCTGAAATGTCTTTAGCCTTTCCATTTCACACAGGAGACTAGTTTTACTTTTCAGGGCGTAGGATATCTCAGATTTCGACTAAAAAATTCATAAAAACTTACGTAGCAAGAATATATTGTTGTATAACATCTCGTGTTAATAATATAAGAACATAAATTGGCACAAAACAACATAATAGTAGTAATATTTTAATAAACAAACATTTAAGAGCAATGAATGACCATTCACTAAGTGGAGAGATTTTTCAGTGTGACCGGTACACGAAGTGGTACATTACGTGTTACTATACAAATAGTGGGATATGTGTGCTAAAAAGTTAATAACTTAAAAAATAAAATTTTCTACCACTTCTATTAAAACACGTGGTGTACCACTTGTGTTCCCGTTACAATTAAAAATTTCTCTAGTGAGGTGGGTGGTATCAACCACCAAATAGGCCAAAAAATTTAGAATCAAACATGTTGGACGATCGACCCTTTATCATATTTTATGTTTATGTATACCTACTACTTATATCTATACTCTTATTAAGAAAACTCTCCTTGTCAACTTTTGATCACTTGTTTGTACCTTTTACAAAATGACAACCATATCCCTATTTTACCATTTTTTATACTTTTTTTTCAATTTTACCCTTACTTTTAATACATAATATTTACACAAGGATGATAAAACAGTAATTATGTAATATTAAAAAGGGAACTTTAACAAAAAGCTTCCGGTATTGTTCACTTTAAAGAAAAATTATATTTTTACATTAAAAAGTCAATCCTGGTACCATTCACTTTACCCTTTATTTTGTCCTTATCGTTCAAAGTTTTCAAGCCATTTTCATTATTTTTCCTTATTAAAAAAAAAATGCACTTATTAAGAGAAATTGTTCACAAACACAAAGTGTGTGCTTTCTGATAGTGTATATTAAAGAAAACCACGTGCAGCTTGATCCAACGGTGGGGGTGTTGCCGATGAATATATTGGATCAAACTAAACTATATATGCTAGTCGACCATTGAAGAAAACAGCCAAGACGTCTTTGGCCCCTTTCCTATTCTGAATATACCATGAAAGCACCTCAACCTCCTCCTCCTGATGTTCCCCGATACTTGCAAGAAAAGGAACACAGCCAAGAAGACAAAGACTTTATATTCTCTCTACCTACAGAAAAAGGTTGGGTTGCAGATGGCCTTCACAAGTACCATGGTTTTTGGCTGTCAACTAAGCAAATGCATGGAGTTTTGGCATGCCAGAAACACTTCCAAGCCGTAGATTCTGATATCGTTCTTGTTACCACTGTCAAATCAGGCACCACTTGGCTCAAGGCACTTATGTTTGCCCTTGTGAAACGAGCGCACTATCTGGACCCTCAGCGACACCCTTTGCTCACAGAAAATCCTCATGTTCTTGTGCCCTGTTTGGAGTTCGATGTCTACACCGACAAACAGGTACTTCCTGACCTCTCCTCCCTGTCCCGTCCAAGGCTCATTTCGACTCATCTACCGTATGTTTGTCTGCCGGATTCTGTCAAACATTCGGGTTGCAAAGTTGTTTACGCGTGGAGAGATCCTAAAGATGTGTTTGTTTCACTTTGGCACTTCTCGAACAAACTGAGGCCAGTGGGTAGTGGAACCATGTCACTTGACGAAGCGTTCGATAAGTTCTGCCGGGGAGTGAATACGTCCGGACCCTTTTGGGATCACGTACTCGGGTTTTGGAAGGAGAGCTTAAAGAGGCCTGAAAGTACATTTTTCATAAAGTATGAGGAAATGAAAGAAGAGCCCGCTCTTCACCTGAGGAGGCTGGCCGAGTTCTTGGGGTGCCCATTTTCCCCGGAAGAAGAGACACATGGAGTTGTGGACGGTATCTTAAGGTTGTGTAGTTTTGACAATTTAAGCAATTTGGTTGTGAATAAAAGTGGGAAATTGCCGGCCGGTATCGAGAATAGTGCCTTCTTTAGGAAAGGTGAAGTTGGAGATTGGATGAATAATTTGACCCCTGAGATGGTGAAAAAACTAGACTCCATTACTCAAGAGAAGTTGCATGGTTCCGGGCTAAAGTTCTAGGGTTTGCATCTTTTTTCTCCCCGTATGAGAGTCTTTATCTGTGTGTGAGAGTTCTTCTCCTTGTGTGAGCGAGTTCTTCAAATTCCGGTAAATCGTTTTGTCGCCGGCCCTAACCATGGCCAATGTCGGTGGCAGCCCTTTTTCTCTTAGTGCTTTCTTTTTTTCTCCTCTGCTGCTCTATTTTTTTCCGGCCCATTTTTTCCCTTTGTTTCCACCCCTAGCGCCTTTGATTTAGCCAGCCTCTGCCCACAATCGGAATGCTTCTTTTTATGATTTCCCCTTTCTTCGCCTCCCACTTATCTCTCCACCCCCACGCATCTACTCAAACCAATTTCTTTGTCTCTTACTTGGATTTGTCCTCTCTCCACTCCGCAATTGCTTCGTTCCGCAAGCATTTTGTTTAGTCGTGTTTCACGGCCATATTATATTGTGCGTAGTGCTTCGGCTCGGGTTTTACACCACCAATTTCCTCCTGTGTGTCGGTGGTAGCTTCCGTTCATTCTCTTGGTGGCTGCTGTTCCAACATGTGGGTTGTTTGCTAGAGGATGATGAAATTTGGTTCTTTTTTTTGTTCTTATCTCGACGCCGGAAGAGGATCCATGAGTTTAGGGTTTCTTTGTGTTTTTTTTTTTTTTTGTGTGGGGATCACCTTTTGGGCTGAGTCTTTCTTTTGTAGTTGTTTTGCAGGTCATAATGTTGAAGTGTGCTTTGTATGTTTTTTGGGTCTCCATTATTGTATGTGTGATGTGTTGGTAATAAAATGTCACCTTTCGACCCCTAAAAAAAAAAAGTTCTAGTGTTTACTTATTACTGCTTATGACATCTTTATTTATTTGAGGTCAGAAAGTCATTAATGAGTAAGAGAAATGTATCGTTTCAACTAGTTCCCTAGTAGTAATAATCCTTGACGTTAAACATATCAACTAGTTACCTAGTAGTAACTCATCTCTATTTTTTGATGTGTAGCATGGGAGAAATCTAGAATTAGAATAATCTCAGTACTCATGTTTAATGAATTATTAGTTCCATATAAGTAAAGATAAACTAGTGCTTAATATTTTTCGTCATCCTCTTTGCAAATCTATAATCCTACTCTAATGACTAAAATTACCACTAGTTCCACCTTCCTAGGAAGTTTGATCACTACAAAAAAGGCAATAGTCATACTTTTGAAAATATCGAAAGAGGGAACGTAACTTGAATCACCAACTATGACTCTCTTTCTCACTCCCTTAATCTTTCCTTTTCAACTTGCATTAGATCTGTTTTTTGTTCCCAATTTAATGTGGATCTTTGAAATTTGACTTATACATTTGAGATCTCGTCTTGTTGTTCTTGATTTTGAGTTTTCAAGAGTTTTTTTTTTTTTTTCAATTTACTAACCCCAACATGCAATTTTAGGATTATTAATACCGTTCGTCCCTTTCATCTGCATCCATTGTAACCTGCTGTATTCTTTCTTCCTAAAACTCAAGCATAAAATCGGACATTAATTTGTATTTAAATCATAAAATGTTTTCACATACATCAACAAACATCAAACTAAGAGCTTTGACAAAAGTGCGGTTAAACAACAAAATTAATATTAAAACAAAGAAAAAATGGAAGCTTAGAAGTGAAAAGCATACCCCCCAAGATGTTCAGTTGCTTCATCAAATACTATCCATTGTTTCACAAAAAAAGTGAAAGGGAAAACATCGTCATTTTATCAAATAGTTAGAAGGCTAAATACAACACAAACAACATTAATTCATCCTTAAACTACTAGCTTACATGGGCTTCCTTCAAAGCTCGAATCCTTTGCACTCCTTGACAGAGTTAGAAGGATAAAAAGAGTCGTTCGGCTCATGATAGTGGCCGACAGAGGCCCTAACAGTAGGTCCCACCCTCTCAGCCGTTGAAGGCCTCAACCCGCGTGGGGCGAGTTGGGCGTGTGATCGGACCGAGAGTGGGCTGGGTTTGGGCGAGTCCATGCGTCTCTGAGCTAATTCTTGGGAGGTATTTGGCTTTTGTTTGTCATTTGCCTTTTAGCCCAAAGATTTGGCTTAGGTTGGGTTGGGTTTGAGGGGGGAGGGGGAATAAATGGGGAAATTTGGCAAATAGCTCAGTGTTGGGTTTGGTCTTAATAAAGATAGAACTCACACATGTTGGCGGACCTTATATTTATTAGAAGGGAACTTTAACGAAACAATCCTGGTACTGTTCACTTTAACGAAAAATCACATTTTTACTCTAAAAGTCAATCCTGATACTATTCACTTACAACACCTTTTTGTCATTTTCGTTAAAACTCAAAGTTTTCAAGCTATTTTCATTGATTTTTCTTTATTAAAAAGATGGTGCAAATGATAAACAAATATATTATAAGTATAGTAAAACCTCGGCAAGTATTACGGTCCGCAAGTTCTGCATAGAAGGATTCAGAAAGGGAACTGGATCCTCTCTTAAGCTCAGGATGGGGATTCTCCTGAGCAGCCCATCTGGATTTTCAAACTTGATCTAACGGCTACAATTATTATAACTTTAGAGGAGCTCCCTATTTGAAGTCATTAGATCAAATTTCAACATCTCAAATGGGTTAGGATCTCCATCCTGAACTCAGGAGAGGATCTAGTTCCCTCAGAAAGGATACGAGTTCCAATAAAAGTGGATAAAGCTGCACATGTGGGCACAATAAAGTGGAAATCTCTCCTTAATATCCTAAACCCTAGAATAAAAAAAATTCACTACGAATCTCTCCTAACATTTAGGTAATTCCAAACAAGTGCACATCGTAATGCAAATATCCGGAAATGAATAAAGTTTTTAATTTTTATGGAAATGAACTTGTGTTTCTTGCAGCAAATGCGCTCTGGCCTCTATATATAATGTGTCCTCTAAAACGCTACCTGGCATCCAATTAATATTGAAGCATTTTTTTTAATAAAACTCTACACATGTCTGATTGTGCTGTGTTAATTAATAAGTTAGGCACAGTACAGATGTTGTTGTGTGAGATCCCAAGAATTTATTATCTAAAAGAGAAATATTTGAAAAAAAATATATGTTTAGGTTACTTATTGAGAATGTATTTATGAAAAGGTTATGAACGTGATTACGAGTTTGTAACATGTTTCAGATTACTTTGCAGAACTTGAATGAATTTTTAAGATGATTTCATGTTGGACCAATGTGTGATGACACATGCCAGCCACAAGTCTGGAATTAGCCACGTGGAGATCAATTTGACAGCCACCAAGCTACTTACGTGGAGCTTTCTTTACATGATTAGCTTGGGTTTGCATGCACTAAGCTGAAGGTGGCCGTGAATTAACATGTAGTCATCATGTGTGTGTATGACTCATGTTTCAGGGGCTTGGCTAGTTCTTATCTCTGGCGTTTACAGGAGTATTGGTTCGTGGTCGGCGGCAAGTTGCTTCGGCAACGGGAGAGGATCCATGCATTTGGGTTTCTTTGTGTGTTATTTTGTGTAGGGCTCACCTTTTGGGTTGGACTTTTCTTCTGTGTTTTGGAGGGCCTAATGTTGCTGTGTTCTTTGTGTGTTTTTGGGCCTCGACTTTTGTACGTATGATGTTTGTAATAAAATGTTACCTTTTGACTCAAAAAAGAAAAAGGTTAAAAGGGTTTGCTTATTACTGCTTATGACATCTTTATTTATTGGGAACTTTAACGAAAAACACCCGGTACTGTTCACTTTAACGAAAAACCACATTTTAACACTAAAAAGTCAATCCTGGTACTATTCACTTTACCCTTTATTTTGTCCTTATCATTAAAACTCAAAGTTTTCAAGCCCTTTTCATTAGTTTTCCTTTATTTCTTTGGGGAGGGGAAGTCATTAATGAGTAAGAGAAAGAAGGAAAGCGAACGGGATCAACTAGTTCCCTAGTAGTAATAATTATTGACGTTACACATATCAACTAATTACCTAGTAGTAACCCATCTCTATATTTTTTATGTGTAGCATATGAGAAATCTCGAATTAAAATAATATCAATATTCATGTTTAATAAACGTCGGGAATAAGTCATTAATGAGAATGATTAACTATGCATATAAGTAAAGATAAATTAGTGCTTAATATTTTTTGTCATCCTCTCTGCAAATTTGTATCCTACCCTAATGACTAAAATTACCACTAGTTCCACCTTCCTAGAAAAGTTTGATCACCAAAAAAAAAAAAGGCAATAGTCACATTTTAAAAGTATTAGAGTGAACATAACTTGAATCACCGACATTGGCCCTCCTGTTGCATCATATCTGTTTTTGTTTTCGGTTTTAAGTTGGATCTTCGAAATCTGACTTATACATTTGAGATCTCGCCTTGTTGTTCGTGGCTTTGAGTTTTCAAGACCATTTTTTTCTTTTCCATTTACTAACCCCAACATGCAATCTTAGCGTTAATCTGCATTCATCGTAGCTTGCTTTATTCTTAATTTCTTCCTAAAACCCAAACATAATACCAGACATTTATAATTTAAATCATAAAATGTTTTCACATACATCAACAAACTGTTGGAAGTTTGACAAAAAAAAGAGAAGAAGAAAACATACAAACTTCGAAACTCAGAAGTTGGCTCCCAGACTTGGTTCCTTCATTTCACACTTCGTGTGACAAGCACTTGGCTTGCACACTCTCTGGTAACTAGCTCTGGTTGCACAGTTTCTATTTCCTTTTTACTCTCTCATATATGGAAAGCATATGGTTGAAGATATTTTCAACCACCAAGCTTCTTCTACACGGCTCCTGCTTTACATGGAGGAGATTAGCTCTCTCCGCCCAACTAAAGCATCTACCCGTGGCCTCTTATACCAAGCATTAGTCTTGGTGTTTATGTTCATATTAGTACAACAACTTTAACATTAATATTATTTCAACACTTTCCAAGACATGTTGTGTGGTAAACGGACATGAAATTCATTTCCAACTACTAAACTATTCCGTGATAAGTTCAAACAAGAGTACAGGATTTCGTAATGCAAATATCAGTTATTAATTTCATGGAAATGAACTTGTGTTTATGAAGCATGTGCTAAGTTTAACACAACGTTGCATCAGTATGAGTTTGCACCACTTGAGTTTATTGCGGCAGGCGCGCTCTGGCCTCTCTCTCTCTCTCTCTCTCTCTCTTTCTCTCTCTCTCTCTCTCTATATATAGTGCATTCCGGAACCCTATCTTGGCATCCAATTTTGTAGTTTGCACCACCAGTTGAGAGAGACCAACAGCCCATCTTTATTTTTGGGCCTTTTCATAAGTACCTGTCAAAACTTTTGAATGTAGTTTTTTTAAGACTTTAACAAAAATATTTCTTGAGATTTGTATAATTCATCACTTTGATCCCTGAGATTTCACATCAATAGAAGTGGTCCTTGAGTTTGTCATTCATTAATCATTTTGGTCATTCCTTGAAAAATTATGTTAAATATGGACCAAATGACAAAAATATCCTCAATTTAATAAATAATTGGCCAAAATGATTTGACAAAAATTAAGGGTATTTTTGTCATTTTGTCGTTATTTAATGAAGATTTTTCAAGAAATGACCAAAATGATTGATGATGAACAAACTCAGAGACCACTTTTATTGATTTCAAATCTCAATAATCAAAGTGAGGAGTTATACAAATCTCAGGGACCATTTTGGTTAAAAAACCTTTTTTTTTAATTATTATTACAAATGATATTATTACTTTAAATTACACTACTGAAAGAAAAATGTTTTAATTTTGAATGCGATGACGATATCGGAAGAAAATTATTGCTATTATGCTTGTTAC